CATCAATTTCCAAACAAGTTTGCGCTCGGGCTCTTGCGAATGCTTGAGAAAACCGTCGGTTTCAACATTTGTAATGGAATTCTGCCCAGCGAACCTCTCGAACCGCATGCCGAAATCATTCGAGAGCCCTTGCAAGCGTGCTGGGGGGGGGGGGGGGGCACGATCCGTGTCAAATATTACGGCTACTCTCGCGCGTAGGCCGCGCGCGCATGTCGAACTCCTTCCAAATCCTTGTCGCCGACGCGGGGGCGCCGTCATCGTCGTCGGCGCGATCTGCATCGGCGCCGTCACTGGCCGTGCCTTCGTCATTGTCAGCATCGTCACCAGCATCGCTGCTCTCATAATCGCGCCTACCGTTGTCGACGTTGCCATGATACGGCGCCCGCCCAAGTCGCCGACTCGCACTGCAATGCCCGCTGGGATATGCCAAGCGGTCAGCGCCATCGCGGCCGCGTCGGACGCGCCAAACTACCTGGCCGCTGCGCGTGCGAGCAGGCGCGGCCGCAGATATGCATCAGCTAAGCGCCAAGAATTCATCGCAATCGCCGCCGCGCGGTTCTTGCAAACAAGATTGCTGGTGGGTGGGTGGGAGGTTTTCAAGAGCATGGGAGGTGGTCAAGCGCGGTGCAGGGTAGTCAATTGGCCTGCAAGAAGGGATAAACAAATCCCCCCCGGGATTGTCCGCCCCCCCTTTCGCATTGCAATTTGCATGCGAAGCTGCCCCATCGTCCATCCTGAATATACATCCCAGGCGAACCGGCATCGACCCCCACGCCGTCCTCTGCAACAACAACCGCGCGCACTCGTTTATCAAAAGTCATCCGTTTTCAAGAACCCATTACAACAAGTGCGACGAAGTGCACGCGCGCGTCGCGCGCATGCCGAAATCCTGCAAGGACCTTCGGCTTTGGAAAGATTTCAAACATGACTGTCAAGCTATATATACATCACGGGTTTCGCAACGCTGATGCGCGAAAAAAATTGGCGCGCGCTCGTGCGAATTCTTAAGACAACCGGATGTTTCTCCACATTTTCATAACCTGCTGCCAGACGGGTTCGGCGCGCGCATGTCGAAATCGCCCGAATGCCCTTGCGCGCGCTGTCATAAAAATCCGCTGCAACAAATGGGGCGAAGTGCGCGCGCGCGTCGTCGCGTCGTCGCGCGCGCGCCGAAATCAATCAAAAACCGCAGGTTTCGCAAGGCTTTCAAAACCGAATGCCCCGACACCAAATCCGCCGACCCCGTTTGGGTTTCCGGGCGCGTCAGCACGCCCGCCCCCATCATCCCCCCCAGGGGCCCCGCGCCGGCAATGCGACCCCCCGCCGAACGCGCCGCGGGGGAGCGGAGGGCTCCAAAACTGGCCAAGAAGGCACCAAAACGCTCCCCAGACGGTCCCAAAGAGCCACGAATCGCCGAAATATCGCTCCTTGACGCCCACGCTGGCCTCCAAACGGCCTCCGAACCTCCCGAGGCGCCCCGCGATGCCCCCAAGATGCCCCCCAAGAGGGCCCCAAGAAACAGAAATCGCCACATTCCTTTTTGCAAACGCACACGCACACGCACACACGCACACACACACACACACACGCGCACACACACACACACACACGCGCGCACGCACGCACATGCACGCGCACGCGCACGCGCACGCGCACGCACACGCGCACGCGCACGCGCGCGCGCACGCGCACGCGCACGCGCCCGCGCACGCGCACGCGCACGCGCACGCGCACGCGCACGCACACGCGCACACGCGCACACGCACACGCACACGCACACGCACACGCACACGCACACGCACACGCACACGCACACGCACACGCACACGCACACGCACACGCACACGCACACGCACACGCACACGCACACGCACACGCACACGCACGCACACGCACACGCACACGCACACGCACACGCACACGCACACGCACACGCACACGCACACGCACACGCACACGCACACGCACACGCACACACACACACACATACACAACACACACACGCACACACACACAGTCACACACACACACAACACACAGTCACACACGCACACACATGTCGCACACTCGCCTCTACGGCTTTCAACGTCCAAGACGAGCAAAGAAACCTTCAATGTCGCCCCAGGACGGCCGAAGGGGCCCCCGAGGGGAGCCGAAAAGAATCAAAGAAAAGCCCACGGAGCCCCCAAGACAGCCCAGGAGGGCCCACAGATGGCTCCAAGAGGGAGTCCAGGGGATACCTTTTCGAGCCTTCGGCCCCAAGAAGCTCCCGGCCTGCCCCAAGAACACCCCAAGAAGCCCTGAGGCCCCCCCCCCGCCCCAAAGAGAACCTCAAAGGCCTCCAAGAAGCCCCCAGGACGCCCCAAAGAGGCCCCAAAACTTGGCCCAAGATGCGTCGAGGCGGCCGGGCATGGCCTGCAGACAGGCCAAGATGCCACCAAAAGACTACAGAAGAGCACCAAGAGGTACGATAGCAACAGCGAAGCAACAGGAGCGACGTCGAGCGCCGCGCTACGATTCGGACAAGCATCGTGAAATGCAGTCCTGGAGGCGCAGTAGTTTATAGAGGGGTCGGCGGATGTGGCGTAAGCCGATGGGATCGAAAAAAAGGTTTCGCAACGTCCGTTTTCAAAAGAGCCTGCGCTTGCGCTCTGGCAGATTCATCAGAGAAATAAAAGTTTGCAGCGTTTTCATGGAACTCTGCCAAACGGGCCTCCTGCGCCGCATGCCAAAATCATTCGAACGCCCCTGCGCGCGCGCGCATGTCGAACTCCTTCCAAATCCTTTATCGCCGACGCGGGGGCGCCGTCATCGCCGTCGGCGTGATCTGCATAGGCGCCGTCACTGGCCGTGCCTGCGTCACTGTCAGCATCGTCGCCAGCATCGCCACTCTCATAATCGTGTCTACTGTTGTCGACGTTGCCATGATACCGCGCCCGCCCAAGTCGCCGACTTGCACTGCAGTCCGCTGGGATGCGCCCAGCGGCTGGCACCGCCGCGGCCGCGTCGGTCGCGCCAAACTAGCTGGCCGCTGCGCGCGCGCCCTTGCGCGGGCTGACGCGGACGCAGAGATGCACCAGCAAACGCCAAGCACTCATCGCAATCGCCTCCGCATGGGTCTTGAAAGCCAAGTTGCGGGTCGACGGGTGGGGTGTTTGCGCGAGCAGTGGTGTGGACAACTCATTGCAAACAGACTCTATGTCATGTTTTTAATTAGATGCAATAGAATGAATTCTCCCCCCCTGGATTGCCGCCCCCTCCTTTCGCGCATGCGATTCTGCCCCGTTGTCCATCGTAAATATGAATTCGTAATATCTTGGGGGAACCGGTATCGACCCCCTCCCGGCATCGCCAGCCGCAAAAAGTACGCGCGCACACTCGTTTATCATGGAGCATCAGTTGTTTAGAATCCCTGGCAGAAAAATTAAACGACGCGCACTCGCGCGCGTCGTCGCGCGCGCATGCAGACATCGCTCAAAAACCGCGGGTGTCGTCAGAATTACAAAACCGAGCGCCCAAAACACACGCGCGCACACACATACGTATGTGTATATACACATACATACATACACATACATACACACAGATTGATAAAACACATGGTTCCGTAACAAGGATATTCAAGCTGTAGCCTGGCGAAGTGCCCAACAATGCAAATGTGAATGCAGGAATTGTGGATATCGAATTCGGTGGCGCGCCCTATGGGGCCGGGAACCGCGCGGGGTGCGCGCCGAAAATGGGTCGCGGGGGCGCGTGGGAATGTCGTCGCTGGGGCCTCAGGTGGAGCTCAGAACCCTATTCCTTCCTCGAGCTCCACCTCCAGACTCCCCTCGAATACAGAACACTCTCGGGATGCAGGGCATCCAGAGGCGTCGCAGACAGCCTGTGTTTCTGCCCCCCTCCCCTCGCAACGAGAGGCCCCGGTGGGAGAAACAGACGCCCCGGGCCGACCCCTGAGGTTGCTCGGTCTTTGGCGCGTCTCTCGAGCTAGAGAAAAGGGGAGGTTCGCGCCCGCGAAGGCTGTCCCCTCCGCGCCCGTGCCCCCCCACCCCCTGCTAGACAAGCGCGTTCCACTACTCGCCAAGCATCTGCTCGCAAATGGCCTGGATCCGCCGCGGCGGTTCTACGATCCACCACGCAGAGGATTTGCATTTTGCGGATGTCTGCGAGCAGGCGCTTTGCGACAAGTGGAGCGCGCTCGGTGACTTGCCCCCCGTTCCTCTCTCGCTTGCCTTGGGCCCCTGGGGGGGGGGGGCGCTGTTTCGCCCCCTTCCCGTCTGCCCGCGGCCTCGGCCCCCTTGGTGTTTGAAGGTCTTCTCGCGCGCTGGAGCCATCGCGCATCGGCCCCGGCCCCGCGGCCACGCCCCGCCATTAGAGCATCGGGCCTCTCAGCCGAGGTAGAGGTAGAGAAGAAGAAACAACGGCATTAACATCAACTTTTGACGCTCTGCGCGGATTTCTTGGATCTGCGCCGGGCCCCCTCTCTAGCGCGATCCACGCGTCAGGGGCGGCGCCGGGGGCGCCGCCAGGGGGGGCCCGGCGCAGATCTAAGCGCAGAGCGCCAAACGTTTATGGCCACGCCTGGCGTCCTTCCTCCTTTGATTCCTAGCATCGGGCCCCTCGGCCGAGGTGGGGGGCGGGAGGGGGCCGGGGCGCATCTCGCGCCGCGCGCGGCGAGTCCTTCTCGGCCACGCGCCCTCCAGGGGCGAATTCGTCACGACAGCAATATACAGGGGTCTACCGTTCTATATGTCGGCGTCCAAGCGAAGCGATGATGTGATGTTGTGCTCCTGTCAATGTGCTGATTGTCCAGCGACGCAATGCGAGCATTCGAGCATTGCATCGCGAGCATTCAAGTCTGCTAGAAATTGCAATGCGAGCATTCCCTTTGAACTGCAAACCTCCAGGCGCAGCGCACGCGGTGGAGAGTGCCCGTTGCAGACCCCGGACGCAGTGCAGACGCAGCACCCAAGTCCACGCCAAAATTCTGCCGCGGCCGATCACGCAGTCAGCAGGTCGCGCATGATGCGCTGCACCATCTCCCCCGTCTTGACCCGCATGTCGTCGTCCTTGTGCCAGCAGTCACACTGGGCCGAGCGGACCTTGGTGGCAAGCAGCTTGGTTCCTGCCTTGGCGTTGGCGCTCCTGTGGATGAGGTCTTTGATGGAACACCACGCGCGGTCAATGATCTGCGCGCCGCTCTTGACCTTCAGGTGCTTGCCCGACGGGAGTACGTGCGTCTTCAGCTCGACGTACTTGGGGGGGATGAGCACCCTCTTGCAGCCGACGATCTTGTACTTCTTCTGGTGAACAACGAGTCGCGAATGACCCCAAGAACACTTAATTTGTAAGAACGCGCCGAGCCAGCGTGAAAGATGGTACCGCGGTCCTTCAGCGAGCGCTCCGCATGGGGCGTCCACTCTACCTCGCGCGCGGCCCGAGGGCCAGGGGCACGCTTCTCCGCCATCTCAGGGCGCAGCCTCGTAAGGGTCAGCGCGCGCGGCCTACCGCGCTGCGAAATGCCCAACCGCTGCTCCACGTGACGGAGCGCTGCGGGTCTTCCAAAGGCTCGGGGCCGTCAGTCAAGTCCAGCTTGTCGAAAGTCGCCTCGTCGGCTTCCACGTCGGCCCATGCCTTCGGCCCACTGCATTCAATGGTCGGCCCCGCGTCCTCCGCGTACATCCTCCGAGCCTGCTCAACGCCAAATCCGCTCCACCGCTTTGTGGTTCACGTCGAAGAGAGGATGCGGGTGGTCGCGCGGGAGACCCCGTGAGCCTCGCCAGTAGGACCGCGGCCTGGCTCTGCAAGCTCTCGGACGTCGAGCGATCGCTGAGGATTGGGTTCTGGCGGGCAGGGGACACGTGCTTCTGGCAACCCTTCGCGTTGCAGCGGTGCACGAAGCGATCGCCCTTGCGCGGGCGAGCTGCCAACTCATCGAGCTTGCCGCGCCCGCAGAAAGGACGAGCCGCCCCAATCCAATCGACGAGCAGCTTGTCCCCCAGCAAGATGTTCACGATCTCCACGTCAGACGCCGCCAGAAGTTCTGGGACTGTGCGCTTACGCCTTGCTTGCTCGCGGCGCAAGCCCCTGCCAGGCGTCGCGTTCTTCCCCCCGGCGTACGGCGCGTTCTTCCAGTCCTTGGTCTTGGTGGCAGATGGGCGCCTGAGCACCATCCGAAGCTTGCCCTTTTTTGGGGCGACGCTAGAACGTCCTCCGACAGCAGCGGCGGGGCGACGGTAGACGGCCACCCCTGGCCCCTGCTGCGATAGCACGGGCGAGGCTGCGCGCGAGAGGCGCGGGCACCTGCGGCTCTGGCTGCCGACTCGGCCTAGAAACGGCTGCGGCGATGGCGAAAATGCGCGCGACGACCTTGAGCATCGAGTCTAAACGACAAGAAGACATAACAATGCGCGGCGATGGTGTCGATATCGCGGCAATGATGCAATCCCCGTGGAACCCCGCGTCGGAGCCCTCTGGGCCATGGTTGGCTAGCGGTGGGCCGCAGAGGCAAGGGCGCATGGGCGCCCGCGCGCGCGATGCCCATTCTTGCAACGTGCGCAGCATGCATAAACATTTCCAACGCACGCATGCATCTCCACCAACGGTCTGGACGCCCCCCCAAAAAAAAAAACAGTAGCATGCCTTTCCGAGCGAACAGCGAACTCTGCCACCAAGCGCAGCTAGACTCATCTGCTACGCCTGGCCCCCCCCCCGCGGCGGCGACCTCGCTCAGTCCGCGTCCGAGTCGATCGCCGCGACGCCGGTTGAGGGCTCAGAAGCAAGGCGGCCGAATGGAGGCGTGCGAAGGGATCGCCCATTATAAGTTGCCAGAAGGGGCAGCCGCGCTCGCCACCCAACGGGGCGCAACGCGCGCACCCTCCGGTCAACAAGCGCGCGATCCCTTTGACGCCTCGCCTCGCGAACGCCGCCCGACTTCTGCGCCCCCCGAGTCTGGGAATAGCCCCTGCCTCGTCGCCTTGTCCACGGGCGTCGCCGAGAACGCCTTCTGCTCGGCGGCCTTCTCGGTCGAGCCCGCCGCCCTGCAGGTGCCCTCGGGGCCCCGCTTGATCGGCGCGCGAAGCGCCCGCTCCTGCTCGACACTGCGCCCCTCCTTTTTGGCAAGCACGAGCTTCGTCAGAGCGTCGGACCCACCATTGGCCGCGCCTTTCTTCGAACATTTGAACTCCATGAGCGAGATGGCGCCTTCCTAGTGGAACCCCCAGAGCCGCTCGATCTCCTGTGCAGGGGCCCCGCGCGGCGGCTCTTCCTCGCCCTCGTTGCCCTCGCGGTCGCTCCCGAGGCGGTCGCGCAAGAAGCCGTCCGCGAAAAGGTCGGGGGGCGCCGCGCGGGGCACGTGGGTGCCAGGCTTCGCCCGCGTGGCTGGGGGGCCCCCCATCTAGCGCGGCTGGGGCGTCGGGGCCGCGGGCACGCCGCCCTCTGGCGCGGCTGGGGCCGGCATCGGAGCCGCGAGCAAGCCGCCCCCTGGCGCGGCTGGGGCTGGCATCGGGGCCGCGGGCAAGCCGCCCCCTGGCGCGGCTGCTGCGCTGCCCCAGATGTCCCCCGAGCTCAGCTTGCCGAACGGCTGGGGCTCGGCGGCCGCGGAAACGCCCTCGACGCCCGAGTCGTCGTCGGGCCCCTGCGGGACTTCGCCGCCACCCATGAGCTGTGCCAGCCAGTTCTGATCCCACAGCACGTCCTGGTCGCAATCGGTCCCGAACTGGCGGTGGCCCTCTTTCCACAAGCCAATGCGGCGCCTGCCGCCCATGTTGATGAAATTCGACTCGTCCAAGACAAAGAACGGAACGGGCTCAGTGCCCTCGGAGGCGAGGCGGTGGAGGACGCAAACATTGCCGTCGGTGTGCGCGAGGTTGAGGGTCACGTGCGAGCGCTTCAGATACGCCATGAGGTTGGCCAGAGCCGCCCCTGGGGGAAGGTCGCCGACGCGGCGCCCAGGAAGTCCTTGTGGGAGATCGTCGGGAAGCTGCCGCTGGTCGGGCGGGGCGTGGCTGAGTTGAACGCGTTCCCCATGATCGAGCGAGGCTGCCCCTGCGCGCATTTTGCGGCCCCCCAGCGGGCCCAGATCATCGACGCGCCATCCCCGACGTCCGTGAAGGACTTGATCGCCCGAGCGCGCTGCTCGTTCAGCGCCCCGTCGTCGCGCGCCCAGGCGCAGCTCTTCCCCCCTGGCTGGCCGCGCAAGAAGTCGAACTCCGCCGTGCTCTTCACCATGGCCGCGCGCTCGCCGCCGATCTTGCGCGCCCGCCGCCTGGCGAAGGCCAGGGCGACTGCGCGACCCGCGAAAAAACATGCCGATCCCAGGCTTGCCAATCAGCATGAGAGCAGCTCGCCCATCGTCTTGACCGTGCGTTCGAGGAAGCCGACCAGGAAGGAGCGCTTGATGCTGCGCAGTGTGGCGGGGCAGACAATATGCTCTCGGCACAGCGCCGCCTCGTTTGCGATGCCCCTCGTGATCTCTTTCGCAGGCGACTCTCCCATCCGAACATGATGCTGTTCTCATTGTTCAGCTCCTTGATGACCCACCAAAAGTGACCCTTATTCTGGATTAGACGGGCATGCTCCTAGATGCAATCGAACCCGTGGTCGACTTTCGACTCATCCATGAGTTCTTTCTGCTTGTTGGGGTCGCGGTGGTCGAACGTGAAATGCCTGATCTTCAAGCCGGGGAGGTGCACGAGCAGGTGCTACAGCGCCTTCGTTCCTGATTTCTCATGGATGACCCGCGCGATCTTATGCGCCTGACCAACGCGCGTGCTCGAGGGGCTGTGAATGTTGATATTGTGCTTCACGACGTAGTGCTTGGCGGTGCACTTCCCGCCGTCGCCCCTCGGCACCGCGAACCGCTGCGTGGTGCAATCGTTCGGGGGCCCCTCATTCAAGCAGAAAAGAAAGGGCAGGTCCTTGAATATCTTGCGACGGAGGTGCTCCAAGATAGCGTCTCAGTCGATGTCTTCGCGGTGGCCGGACGCGATGTCCACGAAGTGCGCGACCTTCTCCGTTGGGCCGTCCGCCTCGGTGTCAACAAGTGTAAACGGGAGATCCCCGGCAGGGTTTGTGGCGCCCGTCTCGCCCTCTGAGGAGATGGGGAAAATCAGCCTGCGCATGGCGAGGTTCTTCGCGACCGTGGCCGCCGCGATCGTCGCAGCGACGCGCGGCGCCGCAGGGGGGGGGGGGGCGCGCGGGGGCGCAGCGAGCCAGGCGGCGCCGGGGCGGCTCGTCCCTTGAGCCGCAACTCGAGCAAGCCGCAGAAGATGAGAACGTGGCGTTGTTACCACGAGTATGATTAATACATGTTGTCGCGGGGCACCCCCTAGCCCTATGGCTAAGAAGATGAGCCCGAACATCGGCTGAGCCCAAACAGCTACGATTACGAAGCTGTCGAGAAGGACATCGGCAGCGCAGCTGGTTCGTTTCCTCCTCCGTCGCTCGGCGCTCTGTCCCGCTGCGCCTGGCCTGCTCTCCCCCCCCTTCTCTCGCTCTCGCTCGCTGTGTTTTTCCGTAGCCCCCTTCCGTCGCGCGGCGCTCTGCCCCGCTGCGCCTGCTCTGCCCCCCCCCCTATCGTTCTCTCGCTTTCGCTCGCTGCGTTTTGCCGCGGCTCCAGCGGCCGGAGCGGGGCTGCTCGGCGAGGCTGCGCGCGGCGCGCGTCAGCCCCAGTCGTTCGCGCGACCGCGGGGCGGGCCGCGCTGCGCCGAGAGCCTCGCTCGGCCGCCCGAGGGGGCAGGCGGCGCTTCGTGCGCGCCTGGAGGGTCCGCCACCAGCTCTCCCAGGGAGCGGTGGCGTTCTCGAGCGCCTCCTCAGCCTCCTCGGTCTTCTTCTCAGCCTTTTCGGCATTCTTCTTGGCCTTCTGCAGCTCCTTATCCGCCTTCTCCGAGGAGCCCCGCGTCTCGCGCAGCTCCGCCCGCGCGCTCTTGAGAGCGGCCGTTTTCTCCGTGAGTTGCTCCGCCTCTGCCGCGGCGGCCTTGTGGTTCGCGGCGTACTTCTCCCTGTAGTGGTGGTTCGAACGGCGGGAACGCACGTCCAGCGCGCTCTCAAGGGACCTGCGAGCTGCTGCGCGCGCCTCCCTCAGCAATTTGGCCACTGCTGGCTTGTCGCTCAAGTCCTGCTCTCTCGTCGCGGCCCTGTGCGCCTTGTTGTTGAGCAGCTTCTTCCCGCGAGCCGGGGCCCGTCTCTTTGGGTTCCCCATGGCGGCGCGAAGCACGGGGCGCGGAACCAGTTAAACCTCGAGGAACCACTTACACCTCGAGCCGAAACAGGTACGGAGGAGGGGAGGGGAGCAATGCGCAGGATAAGCGGGATCACCTAGGAACGGGCCCCGTTCGTTTGCGAATCATGTTACTGCGGTGCTCTCCAGGGCATCAAAAATATCCCGGCAAAGCAACCTAACAGCGAAGCGTATCAACATATATGGAAGCTTTCCCCTCCAGATTCAGGTGAGAATCCAGTTGTAGAATTCTGCTGTTCTCGCAGTCGCAGTCGCAATGACAGTCGCAGTGGCAACGGCCTTAGGATCAAATGGAATCCTAAGGATTCCTAGGGATTCCTAAGGCATCCTTAGGCATCCATAGGAATCCTTAGGAAACCGTAGGGATCCTTAGGAATTTTGATTCCTGAGGATTCCTAGGGATCCCCAAGGATTCCTATGGAATCCCAAGGATTCCGAAATATTCGCCTGCCTCGGCCTCAGCCTCAGCCTGCCTCAGCCTCAGCCTCAGTCTCAGCCTCAGCCTGCCCCAGCTTGCCTCGGCCTCAGCCTCAGCCTGCCTCGGCCTCAGCCCTCAGGATCAGCCTGCCGCAGCCTCAGCCTGCATAAGCCTCAGCCTCAGCCCGCCTCAGCCTCAGCCTGCCCCAGCCGCAGCTTGCCTCAGCCTCAGCTTCAGCCTCAGCCTCAGCCTGCCCCGGCTTGCCTCAGCCTCAGCCTAAGCCTGCCTCAGCCCCAGCCTGCCTCAGCCTCAGCCTGCCTCAGCCTCAGCCTCAGCCTCAGCCTCAGCCTCAGCCTCAGCCTCAGCCTCAGCCTCAGCCTCAGCCTCAGCCCTCAGCCTCAGCCTCAGCCTGCCTCCTCAGCCTCACAGCCTCAGCCTCAGCCTGCCTCAGCCTCAGCCTCCTCAGCCTCAGCCTCAGCCTCAGCCTGCCTCATCAGCCTCAGCCTCAGCCTGCC